AATGTGGCACTTTTAAGCTGAGAGGAAGGGGAGAAAAGAGAGCAAAGCACTGAGAGATAAGTTAGAGAAATAATTACTTCTGTCTCATATTAATAGCCAATTATTAAAATTGGGGATACCCAAGCCTTCCGCCCCCAACCCAGTTCTATCTCCTTGTCCAATCTCCCAAAGACAGGGCTGATGGAAGATAGGATTAACCTCATTCTGGGTAATGCTACTCCACCCAACTAGCTCAGGCTTGGGTGGGGGATATAGATTCTTTGCCTAGATTGCCCAAGGTGTGGAATGATCTGAGTACAGGGATAGTCTCTATCCAAGAGTAACATGATGTCACTCTCAGTCCCTCATTGGAGTGAGCTCACTTCACTTTTGTAAGTCCACCTCTCATTAATTGTTAACCAATCAGAGTTATTTGCCACCCTCAGGAACACTCCTCTTCCAAGGGCATATAAGCTGTAAGCCAGTTCACCATGATTGTCTTTGGTCTAAGAGAGAGACAGCCAAGGGACCATCCTTCTACTAAAAATTATGGCATTGTTAACAAAATGACTACCCAGAAATTATTTCTCTCAAACTTTTTAAATGCCACACAAGGAAAGATGTGTGGGCAGCTGACTTCACCCATGGGGTAAGGTGGGCTGTCTCCCAAACATACTCACAGCAATAAACCACTATCCGTAAAAAGTCAGAGCCCTGAGTGACCTCTCACTGCAATGAGGTACAGGCTATATAAAGCCTGTGCCCTCAGAGTCTTTACTCTGCCTCGACTTCTCCATTTGTCTAGCTTCTGGGCTTCAGAGCATCCTCACTCTTCAGAGAACAGGTTTTAATCTGTTTGAATTCTGTGAGCTTCCTCACACTGTAGTGACCTGGCCATCAGTATAATGTTTGCATCCTGGGCATCCTCACCCAGATATCGACCATTTGTAGATGGTAAATAGATTTTGGAGGGGGCAACTAGGTGGTGTAGTGGATCAAGTACTAGCCCTGGAGTCAGGAAGACCTTAGTTCAAATCCGACCTCATACACTTACTAGTTGTGTGACCCTGGGCAAGTCACTTAACCCCCACCCCCCTAATTGCCTTAAAAAAAGAAGTAAATTGTATAGGATAGGTTGTTGGTATTAGTCCTCTCCTTGGGGTTCACTTCCTCCTCCCTGGAATTACTATTAGACTTACCTGCTTAACCACAGGCTGCAGACGAGCCATGGCAATGACTGTGACCCACACGGACATGAGGGAGCCCAGGAAATCACAGAACTGAAGAACATCATAGTCCATGATGCAGAAAACCACGATGCCTGGCTGGTCACACGCATGGTAGAACTGGGGGCAGAGGTCAGAAGTCATTGATAGGATCGAACTTTAGGCTTAGGCGCTAGATCGATAGCTTCAAATTCAAAGAGAAATGGGAGGTCACTAAATAATCCAACGAGGATCCTTACAGATGCCACTCGTGACAACATGATCTAAGTTTAATTGTATTTTTATTTATTTTGTTAAATATTTCTCAATTGCATTTTAATTTGGTTTGAACTGTGCTCATCAATATTACAAGAGGCACGTGCCAGTGCGTTTGACACTAGTCAAATTCCAGATCATCCTAGATCACAGGAATGATAGGCCTAGAGTAGAGGTCACAGGTCTTATGCCCTCCCATTTATCAATTTCTTTCCTCAAATGTGACACTCAGAAGTGACCACAGTAGAGCAGATGTCATCCGTCCAAGGCAGGGTACATTAAGAAACTGTAACCTCATTTCTGAACATTACACCTCTCAATGCAGCTAAAGATTTCATTAGCTCCCTTAGCTGCTGCATCAGACTGTTCACTTGCATTGGACTTAGAATCTCATAACACTGCCCCCACCCTACTCACTTCCCGATCTTTTTCATATGGACGAATATCTAGTCATGCTTCTTCCCTTCTAATGTTTGAGAAGATTGGTTTTGAAATCCAAGTGAAAGACATTACATTTACCCTTTTTAAATCTTAATAGATTTATCCCAGTGTTCCAGTCTATCTAGATATTTTTGAATCCTGACTCTATTATCCAATGCCTTAGCTATCCTTCTTTGCTTTGCATTGCCTGCAGATTTGATAAAGAGAACATCTACTATATGTCCTTATCCCAGTCATTGATTATAATAATAATAATAATAACGTTAAACAAAATGAGGCCAAGAAAAAATTCCTCAAGTGCTCCACTGAAGACTTCCTTCTCAGTTGACATTGAACCATCAATGACTACAATTATCCTTTCCACATGGGGGGTGGGATGGGTTGGCACCCCCACAATCTGAAAACCTGCATGAAATTTTTTGGCCCTCCCTTCATACCAAAGAAAAATTCTGAACTTTTTCTTGTTCTTTTATGGGGTGTTTATAGTACCTTATAAAATTTGGGTTGATATTACACAATTCTATACATACATTTTGTGCATTTCTGAGTTTCTAAATTTTTTCTGTGTTGTCTGCTGGGCTTTGCATGTCATCTGCAGCTTCCACAAAACTCCCCCAAATTCCCCATTTAATTTCTTATGGCAACCCATCATATATCAAAACCATGATGGGGAAAGTCACAATGTGGAAGGGATAACTGTATTCTTTGAGTCAAGTGGTTCAACCAGTCTCTAATCTATCTAACTTATCCATTCTCTAATCCATTTAATAGTCTAGCCTATAATTCTCATCTTTTCCACATGAATAACATGAGAGACTTTAGCAAATGTTTTGCTAAAATCTAGGCAAATGCTATCTACAGAATTATCCTGAGCTACGATTTTAATACCCTAGTCAAAAAAAAAAAAAGGTAATAAAGTTATTCTGACTTGATTTATTCTTGATGAAACCATGCTGGCTCTTGGTGATCATTGCTTCCTCTTCTGGATATTCACTATTCAACCCTTTAATAATTCATTCTAAAATTTTGTCAAGAATCAAAGTCAAGGCCCTCCTGGCCTATATAGCTCCCAGACTACATTCTCCTCTGTTACTGTCAATGAAGCTGGTGTCCCTGAAAATGCCTTCTGACACCACTCTCCCCACTTAGGGCGTATCTAACAGGGGGCAAAAAACAAATAGTGGAAGATGGCAGAGTAGAAGGAAAAAGCACAGTGGAACTCTACCCCACAACTCCTACAAACAAATCTAGAAAATACATCAAACTTGTGTGTTTTCTAGATTGAGAAATCCAAGAAAGAATCACAGGAAATAATTTTTCCAGCCCAGGTTAGAATAAGGAGACAAATAAAAAGGTCTGCAGACCACTGAGGATGGGGTTTACCCAGAAATGGCCACCCAGAGCATTTCGAAGGAGGGAGAGGCTGTGTGAAGGCAAGAAGAGGTCTCAAATCCATCATGGAGGGACCTAGACTTGTGCAGAGAATAGGAATAGGCATCAATTGGCATATCTGTTGTTCATTACTCAATTCTGGGTCACAGATACAGGGCAGACTGAGAAGAAGACCTGAGTCTAAGGGTGGCATTCCAGGATGAGTGATTGTGAACTCTGGGCTGTATGGGAGTAAATTCAAAAGCAAGCAACCAGCTATGTTCTGACCATAGAAGAGCAAGGGGGTCTCAGTTACAACCTCCAGCCCAGTTTGAAGCCGGCAATGGAATAACCATGTGTACACATATATACACATGTATATGTATGAACATACATATAAGTGTGTGTACACACATACATGTGTGTGCACATGCATGTGTGTATGTGTGTACATGCACACTCATCCACAAACACCAAGCACTACAGAGAAGACCATGGTGAAAGTAAAGACCAAGACACTCCCCAACACCACTTACCGTGGAGAAAAACATGGTAAAGGTGTAGACTGCAGCCTCTAGCACATATCGACTTCGGACAGCCACAACCACAGGTGGCAAAAACATGAGATTACTCAGGCAGAGCAGCAGTGTGGACAGAAGTTGGAATCCATAAGTGAGAGCATCTGCACTGTCCGTGCAGCCCCAGCCACGCCAGCCTAGGAGGGAGCAGGGGCATGCTCAGTACTCAGTGTAGGGACAGTCAGTAAGAAACAGGAGTGCAAGGGCTCATGTTCATTATGAGTTCCTTCACCCCTATGAATTTCTTAACCCCCCATGCTCTCGTTCTAGAGTTTGAGAAAAGAGGTCCTGTCCCTGCTTGCCTTTTCTCAGGTACTGCTCCTTGGCCCCTTGACCTTTTTGTATCTCAGTTTCCTTCTCTGAAAAATGGAGCTGGATTAGGTAATCTCTAAGGTTCTGTCAGCTCTAAATCCTCTTCCTCCTTTCATACCCTATTTTCTTTTCCGATGCCCCCGTCTCTGGCTTTTCATTTCCTCCTCCTGTTTAGAATGCTGGTCTTCCCTCCCTCCCAGCAGCCTTGCCCATATATTCCCTCCTACTAAATCTCCCTCTTCCCACCCCTGCCTCAGTTCCTGCTGTCTGAACCCAGGGCTTCTGGTTCCTACCCTTGGCTCTCCAGACCTTCCGGCCTCTCCGTCCCATGCCCTTTTCCCATCTTCCTCACTTACCAGCTTTGCACTCACAAGCTGCATACAGGTAGTTATGCGTCCTCAGAAGTTTGCACTGACCATACGGGCCACAGTCATCAATGCACGGGGACAGGAAGGTCCGGAGACGGACCTCCGCAGTGACATTCTTACAGCGTTCAAACCTGCAGACATACTGATGATCATGCTGGGCACGTCTCCTCCTTGCCCTAGACACCTTGACTCACACTGTCTAGATGTCTAGCCATCACTCTGGGCACACTGACCCTCACCCTGGGTATGTCAGACTGACACCCTGTATACACTAACCATAGTACTGATGACCTCTATCCTCCCCAAAAATACTTGAGTATTTTACTTGAGTTTGAAGGGCTATCAAGGAGAAAAGGAACTAAATGGTTCTGCTTGACCCCAGGGTCAGAATTAGGAGCAATGGGGTAGATGTAGCAAAGGGGAAAATTTAGATTTGACTCCTTTCCTTGAGTCAAATCTAAAAAGAGGAGAACGGGCTGCCTCAGGAGAGAGTGGGTTTCCCCTCACTGGAGGTCTCCAAAGAAATGCCTGATGGATACATTTTAAATGTCTTGTGATGGGAGATTCCTGTGCAGACATGATTTTGACTAGGTGACCTTGGAGTTCCCTTCCAACTCCGTGATGTTCTGATACTGTGGTTCTGTGACTAACACACTGGACACACAGTGTGTGACCATCACCCTGGGCACACCCAAATATAAACATGACCTTTACACTCAAACTGAGCAGCACAATGGACACACTGGCCATGGCCTCCCTGGACTAGATCCTTAGCACTACTGGGTATCCAACTGACCCTCCCAAAGGGCACCTCTGACCCTTTCTCTGATCAGCAAATTAAATAAGAATTAATGATGTTCTTTACACAGGAAACAGGAACTGCACAGCAAGAGGCATGGGCTTTGAAGAAAGAAGAGATGGCAATTCGCTTCTGGATGCTCAAGCCAGCTGAAGTCATGCAACGAGCTCTAGACATGATGGGGCCAGACCCACAGTGGAGAAGACAAGGCTGCTGGGAAAGCCAGCCCAGATGTGAGCCTAGGATCGTAGCTGAAGAAGCCAAAGGGAGAGCCAGCTTTAGCAACCAGCTGTTGAACGTGCTTCAGGAAAATTGAACAGGACAGGGAATGTAGTAGAAGGTAAACCTCTGCGATGGCAGAGACCATCTAGGTTTTTCTCTTTGTATCCCCATCCCCTAGCTCAGCATCTAAGTGATAGCCCTCAGGGGCTATTGAATTGACAATGAATTGAGAGAAATGGCTTAGAGTAAAGGTAGGAATTCCAAGGGCCTAGAGCCAAAGAGTCTTCCAGGAAGAGGGAAGGAGGTGACTAATTGGACTAAATGGCATGAAGCCCAGGAGAGGAAGATTTAGGGCCAAATAGAAAAGAGCCTTCCTCCTCCAGGGGCCAAGCCAAAGAGACCTCCAGGAAGAGGTGAGAATCTTACAGGAGAGCGAGCATCCGCTCCAATCCTTAGGCAAAGAGCTTGATTAATTTGGGCCAGCACCAACTCAAACAGGATTTAGGTGAGGCTGACTCCAGAGGCAAAATACGAGAGTTGGATCAGGGATGAGGGCTTCAAACTTCAAACCATCACTTCCATTTCACTGATGAACAGGACCATCTATTCCTGTAAACTTTAAGAAACTGACTAACTTCACATCTCTTCCTTTTTGTTTGCTGTTTTAAATTCTTATCTGTCTTCTTGTCCTTGTGGAAGGGGATTAAGGGAGAGGGAGAAATAGTAAGAAACCTTAAGAAAAACATTGGGTTCAGAAAGGACATTGGGACAGTAAGGAAAGGAAAGAAATAGACAACTAAGGAAAGAAGTAGAAAACTGGGTCCCCTTCCACGAGGGAGATAACATAGGAACCTGGGTGGAAAGGTGTTGAGAGCGGAGTGTAGGTGGATCAAGTTCAGAAGCATAAGAACTGCCCTTGGACCAAGAATTGTCTCCTGGGGTTTAACACTGTCATGAGGCCCCAGGTGTCCCCTCAAAAAGCACAGGTAGTGAGTTCAGCAATAAGCCAATTGTGCAACTATGCTTCCTAATAGTCCAGCACCTATGGTACACATACCAGCTCAGGCACTGGAAACCACTGGTACATGGAAAGGAGTATGTTCTAGCACAGGTACAATAACCTTTCACTGTTGGAGAGTGACTTGGAGTAAAGCAAGAAACAAGACAATAAGAATAAAAATAATAGCAACTCAATTTTTGTATAGCCCTTGAAAGTTTGCAAAGCACTTTTCATATAAGACCCCCTTGTGGTAAGTACTTCAAGTATTATAGTCTCCATTTCAAAGAAGAGAAAACTGAAGCTAAAAGGTTCAGTGACTTTCTCAATGTCATATGTCTAGCATTTTTCAGAATTTGTATTTGAACCACCAGCTCCAAGTCCTGTATTCTTTTTGCACTACCACACTGCCTTGGGAGAAATCCCACACTGTGAAAGAGAAAGCATCTAATCCAAAGAACTACACTAAGAAAGACTGTGGACCTTTCATCCCTCTCAAGTCAGCAGATGAAGGAGTTTGGAGGAGAGTTCATGTTAATATTCTAAAGCCCTACCTTCAAAGGGAAGATCCAGTCCTGATCAACACTCAAGAATACCCTATAAACTGTGTAGACAATAGCCTCACAGATGAAGAAACCGTTACTGATGATCTACTGTTACCTTCTTGTCAAGAAGAAGAAATTTCTGTCTTGATAGCATCCTTGGCAAGAGCAGGAGGGGATGAGGCTCAACATGATTTCAAAGTTTAAGGAATAAAATTCCCTGGACCAAATTCAGCAGGCTGGGTGGGTAGAGCCTGCAGATAAAGAAAAGTGGTTAGTTGATCAAACCTGCTTCCAAAAAAAATTGTTGCTGTTGTTCTTGCTTTTAAAGAAACCCAAGGAAAACAGATTTTATCTTCTATGAGAAAAAGGGGGTCAAGGAACCACCCTATCCCAGCAACTATGAACATTCATCACAGGTGCATTGTAATGCATAATAAACATAAGAGGAAAAGAGATTGAGAAGCTAGAGTTGGGTCATTTCCCCAGCCAGATGCCCTTGGGCTTTATCAGTTGTGGTTAGCAAGCAAGGATGGGGCACATAGATTCCCTAAACTGATTAGAGAAAAAAATAATACTGTTGTCAAATCTGATACTTAAATATCATGCTTTAAAAAACTGATCACTGACAGAAATATTGGGAGAGTCCAAGGAAATTTCTTCCATAGATTTTGGAAAGGAATACTGACAAATGGGGGTAAGCCCAGAAGCCAGGCTGAAGGCAGTCTTGTCATCCACTTAGGGATGTATGAATTTAATTTGCTGTCTTTGGGTTGGGAAGAACTCTTCCAGTGGTTGGTCAATAATGGTTGATCTGGGATGGAACTTCTTGCCATACAAAGATGACACAGCCGTTATTTACGTATATAATCCAGATGTAGAACTCTACCTGGAATATCTAGAGAGAGTCCTCCTAGTGGATCAGAAAACTGGTCTAACATGCAAAACTCTAAAAAATGATAGAATATTTGACCCCTAGTACAACTGAAGACAGCAATTGAGGAGCAGCTGATCCCAAAGAAGAGGCGGGTGATAGAACCATTTATCAAGAGATGGAAGTAACCTTTAAGGGCCATCTAGTCCAAGCCCTTCATTTTACAGAGGGATTAAAGTGATTTGCCCAAAGTCGTACAGGTAGTAAATAACAAAGGCAGGATTTGAACCCACTCCAAAGCCAGTGCTCTTTCCTTTGTACTATATGTCTGTTTCCAGGTTTGCTGTTTATTACTATAGACTTATATCCCTGTTTGAGAAAGAGAAATTGAATGAAGAGCTGTCCTAGGAGTAAGGAAGAGCAGGCTTCATGTGCCACTTCAGATACAGACCAGCTGTAGGATTCTTGCCAAGTTACATCTCTGAGTGTCCCAGACAATTCTCTAAATCTATAGACTGAAGAATGGGTGCTAATCTCCCTGTACTGGTAGAGGGAGTTTTCTCACTAGGAATTTTACACACCAATGAAATCACAGCAGTCCCATATTCCAGTTTAATCCCTTGGTCTCTCCCCTTACTGATTCTTTAGCTAAGAAAAAGTCAGCAAAAATCATCTGCAACTCTGAGACCAGGGCACCTTTTAAGGTGCAGGATATAAAACCCACCCTGCACTCCCACAGAGAACTCTTCCCTCTGATGATAGTAACTCCATTCAAACCAGCTTGTCAGGAGACCACATTCTCCTTGTCCCTGATCTGTAAGAAATTGTCTTTGGGGACACTCAGTATCTCAGTGCAGGGTTTGGTTTGGGGTGGGGAGGAACATCAAGGCAGGAGATGAGAAGATGGTGAAAAATAAATATGAACTTTCTTTATAGGAAATTGCCTCTCGAATTAGCCAGGGCTGGCTCAAAAGAGTTCAAAAATAAAGCCTTGTAATTAACTGAGCCCTTCATAAAATTAGGCCTTCTTTGGGCAATAACAATAAAAGTTCACCTTCATATTGAGGGTTATTAAAGAGATTGAGTGGCTAGAGATTTATTGTCTTAACAACCAGCCCTTTTGAACTCCATAGAGAGTTTTGACTCCAAGCCACAGACATGGGTGTGGTGGTGGTTCCAGGAGCTCAGCATGGGGGAAGTCTGTATTGAGCATGCCCAGGACTCTCCTACGCAGTCCCAGATGCCCTCTCTTGAAGGTGTTAAAAACTTTTCCCTACTGCCTTGCAAAAGCAAGTTTAAAAATAAACATTGGCATGACTTTATTTTTAAGGCAGGAGGGAGTTATCTTCAGGGAATGACCCAGGATAACTTTCCTAGGTGAAGAAGGGAAACGTTGAGATGGAGACAAACCATCTGCTGTTTACTGTGAAATGGAAACGTCTGGCTTTAACGCCTTGTCCCACGGTGCCCATTTCCACCATTGTTTCCCCCAATAGTGAGAAAGAAGGTGCAGATGGGGGTCCTAACGCCCGGCTGAATCCAGGAGCGCTAGCCCCAGAAATAAAAAAGGGATAGAGGCAAGCAGGACAGACTCTCACAATAAAAAATGAGAAAGATATATAAGGAAAAGCATGGAGAGGAACTAAGGGAAATCACACCTCGCTCCATTATACCTCCCACCCCCACCACCATGTTGCTCCATAGTTTCCAACAGTAAAACACTTCGTCTTAGAAGGCCCTTGCACTTGCTTTGGGAAAGGAGGGGAAGGAGCCAATGAAAGCCTCCCTCTTCTTCAATAGCCTTGGGAGGGGAAGAAGCCTAGTTGAAAAAGTATATGGTGCTGGATTACAGGAAGCAGAGAAGGGGAGTACTTGGGCCCTGAAGATAGAAGGGAGCTCAAACCCAGGAAAGATACGTCTGTGGTTACCCAGGGAAGGACCCCTTCTCGCCAGAGCTCCCCCAGCCTGTCGTTCTAGTGTGCTCCCCACCTTGACCACCCTCTTTCACGGTGACTTTCTCCACTGAAGGCCCCCAATCAGGCTTCGCCTGCTCTTACCATGGGCCTGCTCCACACAGGGATCGTAGAGTTAGGTACCAGGTTCCTGTTTGGGGGAAAGGGATCCGAAGTCTGGAGATTTTAGAGGCAGCATTGACAGAGAGAATGAAGCCAGCCAGGGACTCTGAGCGAAAGACAGTGGTCATTGGGGCGAGGGGGTGGGAGGAAGAAAGGACCCCCCATCTCCCTCCTCCCTGCCTCCCTGTATCATTACCCTGACATCTTCACCCTCTCCTCATCCTCTTCTTCCCTTATCCCACTACCCCATCATCTCCTTCCCTCCTGTTACATTGCTCCCTAACCAGATTCTGTCCTTCTCACCTGTGGAGCAGGTCACAGAAGAGTCACCTGAGCTCAGAGGCACCTCATGAGTCAGGCATCCAAACACAGTGGCATTTTCCTGGCGCAGTGAACTCTGAATAAGGGGATGAGGGGGGAGGGAAGGAGAGGAGGCAAAAATATAAAGGATTTTCACCCACACCTGCCTCACAACCTGATCTTCCAGACTGCTAAAAAACATCTCCAAGAACCGCCCCCCACACTCCCCCCATACATACACACACCAAGCCTATAAACAACCTTCCATCCCCAACTAGGGGACTTTTCCCCTAATTGCCTTGTCCCCCTACTCCTTCAGAATGCTTCCCAGGTTCCCATAAACCTCTAACTAGGAATACATATGTAGTACCTGATACATCATCCCCTTCTCACAAACATAAACCCCCTCAATCTTTTGTCCCAAACTCCTGCCTTTATTATTCACATGTGACTATATAAGCTTCCCTATACTTAGGATGGCTTCCTTTTGTGAAAGAAGGCCCCTGAAATATAGACACTGAATTTAGGATTAGATGAAATATAGATGATTTTCTATGTACTCATTGACCCACCATTTGCCACCATGGGCCACTGTCTCTATTTGTAATTTGTGGTAACAAAATGAATAGGTGGTATATCATGTGTGAGGAGAGAAAGGAGATAGTAGGAAATAGGAAGGAGCCTTCCTCATCAAGGGGTAGAAGGATATAGGCACACCAGTCCTAGGAATTAAAGATGTTGAACTGCGTTCACAAAGAAGATGAAAAGAAATTACAGAGCCAAAGAGAACCTGAGAGAGACCTGGGCCAATATCCATTTGAATTTAAATGAAAGGATTAAGAGGCCAAGCAAAAGGCAGGAAGGAAGGAAACCAAGCTAGGCATGGAATCTGGCAATCCACCTCAGATTTAAGAACATTAGCCTTCTAAGACTCAGAACTACTTGGTATCTTTGGACTTTTTCCAATGGCTTATCCCTGTTTCATTTTGGGAAGATTTGGGGGATGTGAGTTCCTACTAGCAGATGGTGCCAGGGCCAGGTATGGACAGCCAGTATAGATCATTACTAGGGGAGAAGGATGAAGCAGGCAAAAGAACCAGAGGGGCGGCTAGGACTTGACCAGGGCAGGCAAGAGTCATCGCTGTTTTAACAGTATAAATCAGGTATCTTCTATGAAGGACGTGACAATCTGGTCAGGGATAGGCAGAGCTGGGTAGAGTTCTAAGGCCAGGACAAGTCAAAAAGGGCATCGAGCACAGAAACTAAGGATGTCAGTACATCAGTAAATGTCTTTTTGCCCAAGCTGAGGCTTTTTGCAGGGCTCAGGGTTGGTTCCCTCTGGTAACTTGGAAGATGGGCACGACCTTCTGGTCTCAAGGGGCTAGAGCTGCCAGGACCCCCAACTTTGTAGCAGGACTTGGTCAGTCTTAATATTGGTGTCTTCAAGGAGAAGTAAATTTTCCAACTGAGGGGGAAGGTTAGCTAGTGCACCAAGACCTTGAGATACAGGAGTGAGGGTTAGCACTTCCTGTGATGTAGAATCTAGTTTTATTACAGCCATCCAACCCTGCCTATTCTTTACCCAAGCCCTTGTGCACCCTGGATGTCAGCCTCAGGGGTAGAGTTGGAAGCAGGGCAACACAGAACCGAATTATTCTCTACCTGTTCCTCTGTTGTCACCAATATAAAACATACTTAGGTAAATCAAATGGACTTTGAGCTTTCTTACAAGTCAATAAGAAAGAGGGGAGCCACCCAGACTACTTCCTGTAGTAGGCTAAGAAAGTTTATTATATGTGAAACTGTAAAAAAAGGAGGAAAAAAGACCCCTCTTCTATGTTGACATTATGTGCCCTTGATCCAGAAGATATGAGCTTCAGGAAACCATTGATCATAAATGAGTAATCTTATGTAGTACCTTCTTGGAGGATGGCCAAGGATTAACTGACATGTGGATGTCTGTCCCTTTGACCAGAAGGAAACGGGAAAGCTGAAATCTTGACAGAGAAGAGAAGTGAACAAATGTGCTAAGGGGAGAACATGAGGAAGGACTTCTCCACTGGTCACCAAGGGGAGAGAAAAGCATCCTCGAAGGTATGCAAAGGCAGGGAGACTGACATTGGGCATTGCCCCTACAGCATCAACTATGATTCCATGGGAATGAGGGAAGAAAGATACTCTCATTCCTATATCATAACTGATGATCTGAGCTTAACAGAAGTAAAATATAGTAAGATGAAGGGCTGTACCCACTGAGCTCTGGAGAGATACCCTGGTAAATTCTACACTCCCATATTCTGCCTTATCCCCCTACCCTCTTATTCTCTATGGAAAGTTGAGTCTGCTTCCCTAATCCTTGTTTCCTTTAAGAGCTTGGTTTTTGGAACTCAAAATTTAAAATATATATATATATTTAAAAATCGTTTTTACATGTAATTGGAAAAAAAGATAATTTTAAAAAGAATTTGTTTTGCTCTGGGATTTGCCATTTTAAAAAAAGTTTCTCACACTTTGTTTGTTTGCCTAGAAAACTGAATGCCATTGAGAGGGAGTGGGAGTGATAAATGGTAATGCATACAGGAGGAGATTTTATACTGAGATATATATTTACCAGAAAAATAGATTCTCTGTCTAATCTCTGGGACTAACATCAGGGAGCTCAAAGCTAGAGAGAAAGAGATAATATTGATATGTATTATTAAAGCTCCTCAAAATCATAATAGAATGAGTGAATCTGTGTGTCCTGGACTTAGTATGAGCTTACAGTTTTCTAGTGGGAGGAGGTTTGGTAAGTCAGCAGGAATAAGCCTCAACTATTGTCTCTCCAAAAGAACCAGTCCCCAAGAAGGGTGGGGTAAAGTCTTTGACTAAGAGGAAAGTCACACTCATGGAGTAGGGAAAAACTAGTAAAGAGTGGGCACCACCCACTGTAGGGTGGAAGGGGGAGGGGTAGAAAAGAGAAGGGGAAAGGAGAAGAGAGCAGATGAGGTAGAGAGGGGGAGAAAGAAGGTTAGCTTAAAGAGAGAGGAAGAGAGAAGAGAGAAATCAACTCTCTTCTTCAGCCAAATACCTTCTACCCCCAACCACTGTCATACATGTTAGGAGTACATTTCTCCTTGAGAACTATATTCCCCATAAATCTGTGCCAAGCACAGCAGATAATGATGCCCCCTCCAGCACCAACTGGTGTTGGATGAGGATGTCTGATGGGAGGCTGAGCAAAAACTCTTGCAAGAATCAAACTGTGCATACCCTTCAATCCAGCAATACCACTACTCGGTCTGTATCCCAAAGAGATCATAAAAAGGGGGAAAGAACCTACATGTACAAAAATATTTATAGCAGCTCTTTTTGTGGTGTCAAAGAACTGGAAATTGAGGGGATGCCCATCAGTTGGGGAATGGCTGAACAGGTTGTGGTATATGAATGTAATGGAATACTATTGTGCTATAAGAAATAATGAGCAGGAAGATTTCAGAAAAACCTAGAAAGACTTAGGTGAACTGATACTGAGAAAAGTGAGCAGAACCAAAACATTGTACATAATAACAGTAACATTGTACAATGATCAACTATGATTGGCCTAGCTCTTCTCAGCAACACAATGATCCAAGACAATTCCAAAAGACCATCTACATCCAGAGAAGGAACTGATGGAGTCTGAATGCAAATGGAAGCATACCATTTTCACTTTTTTCTTTTTTTTCATGGCTTTTTCCTTTTGTTCCATTTCTTCTTTCACAACATGACTAATGTGGAAATGTGCTTTACATGATTGTACATGTATAACTCATATCAGATTGCTTACCATCTTGAAGAGGGGGAGGGGAAGGAGGGGGGAGAAAAATTTGGAACTCAAAATCTTTCAAAAAATGAACATTGAAAATTGCCTTTACATGTACTTGGAAAAAATACTATTAAATAGAAAGTGTCAAAAATGAACGTTGAAAACTGTCTTTACATGCAATTGGGGAAAATAAAATACTATTACATTTTTAAAAAAGGAAAAAAACTCTTACAAGAGAGTCAGGATACAGGATTATTTGAGTAAGGCTCTAGAAAAGAGGAAAGAGAAAGTAAGCACAAAGGCAGAAAGCTGCTCCACAGTTATGTCTAACTCCTACTGCTATTAATAAGACAAGTTTTTCCTCTTCCACTTTGGAAGCAGTGACTATTGACTTCCTCCTAACTACAAGTCCTGTCATGAGAAGCCACAGTGGCTGGAGTTCAATGCTTTGCAGATTCAGTGCTGAGATGCAATGTCTTTTAGACCTGCAGTGCCTGGGTTTTGATCTCTGGGAAAATCACACCCAACCCTAGGTGGCTGTTGTATGGTGCGGTGCTTTGTGTGCAGCATGGGTAGTATTGAAAGAATGGACTCACAAAACTTCTCTTTTTTTTCCCAGTGTACCAGCTTATGGTACTGAAGTGAGAAGTGAGGAACTAAATTCTTTGTGAACTAAATTCCTTAAAAGTTGGAGAGTTTGTAGTTTAGAAAATAGATGTTTAAAAAATAGCTATGTCTCCTACTTGACCTAATAGCTTTTTCTTCCCCATTCCCACCCCCAACCACTCTTCAACTTATAAGGGGGACATTTCTCTCTGGTGTGGATATGAGCTCTGTAATGCCCATACTAGCTGATTAAATACGTGAGAGCTTCCCTTTTTCACAGGGGAACCAGACAATTGAATAGCACAACAACTAGCCAATCAAGAGAATTTCTAAAGTCCAGAGCTACTTGGCATACCAGTGATCCTCTGCAAGCAAACATAAGTTGAACTTGGAGATGTCTGCAACTGCTGAAACCAGTCTTAACCACCTCCAAGCAAGTAGCAGACATCTTGGTTCCCAACTTATCTAAATATCAGCAAATATCCTGCTTTCTGATTTGTTGTCTTTGCAGATGTCTTCTCCTTGGACCCCTACTCCCCTGACAGCCCAATCTATTGTATTTCTCCCTTAACCCTCCACTTAGCCCTGAATACCTCAAATATGTATAAATACCTCATCCTTTTCCCACTCCCCTTTGAACCACTGGGAATGTTGTCTCACTGCCAGTTTGCAAGCTTCTTCTCAGGCAATAAATGCAGTTATAA